AGAACCTCAAATCATACTTGTGACTTTTCTCAAACATCTTTTCTTTGTGTTGCCATTTTGATTTTTAAAGGGCATGTTATTTCCATTATGACGTTCCCGATATAATTTTACCTATGAGTCCTGTTACGTTTGCTAAATTTGGGCTAAGAGTAGATGCACTCTCTAGGTCCAGTTCTGGAGATCCAGTTTCCTAATGTGACTTCCTCCCTTTCCTACTGTCTTTTTTAAAGCTGATACTGTAGTGCAGTCTTGCCAGCACAGTCCGTGTATTTTTTGTAACAAGTTACATTTAGTCTTTAACTTAGAAGTGTCTTTAGGAATTGTGAAGAGGTTGTTTTGTTGTGTTTATCAGCTATTATTATTATCCTGTAATGCAAAAGTTCCTATAATTCAAAAACTAGTCTCCTTAGCTATATTTAAAACAGGTGGGGTTTTTTTCAGAAACTAAGGGAAAAAAAACCTCTCTTAATCCTTAAGAAAATTCCTAACTGCCAATACAGTACCAATTTTTGCTTGTCTTCTAGAAGATGAAAAGTTGTTTGCTGCCCTTTCCTATTTATTTGTTACACTCCTTCTAGCATACTAAAAACCTTAGCTTGTGAGATTGTTTTCATTGAGAACAGTCCCTTCTAGTGAGCATTAGATATTTTGTACTTATGAGTTTGCTTTATTTATTGCGTTTGCCATCTTTCTGTCCTTCCCCAGAAAGTGAAATTTTCTTCCTAAGCTTAAACAGTGTGGTAAGTAGAAGCAGCAGATTTGATGCATAAACTTGGGGAACGCCCCACCTAGTGGATGCTCACAAACTCATTTTCTCATTGCTCCAGTTCAAACAGGAGGCTTAAGGTTACATTGGATTACCATACATATTAATGATGTTTACTGCCAACTCAGGAAATAGATTAAATAGCTAGATTTTCTTTCCCCTTTTGCTTGTGGGGGTGATGGTGTTTGGGGAGCTAGGAGGGGGAAAGGTAAAAAGGGGATTTACATTAAAGACAGTTTCAAGTTTAAAAAGATGTTGAAATTCCCAATAAATATTTTAACATAGAAATTAATTACCAGCTCTGGTGATTAAAATGGCCATCTTCAAAACTAGCTTTCCTGGATGTCAGAGGAAAGGAAGTATCTCAACAGAGCAATTTTCTCAGGGGGCAGCGGAGGGGGGGGGAATCCTTCTTTATTCAGTATGAGACTGGCCATTCCCTTGTACAAGAAAAGATGCAGTGAACTTCTTTAAAACAGGACAGCAAAATGGAGGGAGTGGAAGCCTGTCTGCTTTCATCTTAGACGCTTGTGCTTTTAAAGGCAAACTAGGGGATATGAGTTGTACACTACTGTGAACAGAATTATTAATTGGAAAAAGTGGGATGAGGTAATATGTTGCTCTGCCCTTCCTTTTCCTATGTCCTGTGATGTCCACATCCATCCTCATGTGGATGAAGAAAATTTATCAAAAGGCAAAGTTTTTTGTTCCTTCAAAGTTAAGTTCCTCATCTTTCTGTCCTGCTTTTGGAGTTGGTATTTGAGTTGTATAGAATGAGATTATATTCAAATACGCTTTCTTCTGTATTATATTAAATAATTTATTTCTTATAAATTTCTTAGCGAGAGAAGACTAGATAAACTCTTATTTATTCTTATGCATTGTATTTGGAATAGACACTACATTCTGTAAATGAAATCAGGTGCTGAGGAATCACACATTTCTTTTAGAGAGGCTTAAATGTACAGGTAATGACCAAATGATAAAATAACCTCAAAAGTGATGCCTGTAGACACATGTCAAGTACTACTTTTGAGCTGAACAAAAAGAAGATGAAGCAGGAACAAGAGTCTTTGCCATCCATACTCTAGTTCACTGAGTTTCTCTGAAGTATTCTGTTTGCTAAATGCCAAACAGGGAAGAAGAAATGTGTCAAGTAAGTTGACAGTTTGAGGTAAACTGGGTTTAATTCTTACTTCATGGGTACAGCCTGTCTCTTGGTATGGGTTGTTAGGGACATGGCAAGTGTTACAACATTATCTGTTTCTAGAGGCCGAGTCTTAGTTGCTCTCTCTCTCTCGCTCGCTTTCTCTCTTTCTTTCCCCCTAACAATGAATAAGTAGATCAAATTTTTTTGCTGCTGCTGCCGCCTTTGTTAACCTTAGCATTTCTGTAAATAGAACACTATACTCAATAAATAGAAATGCAAGATTTGCTGATAGAGTACAAAGGTTATGTGTTACTCATTTTTGCCACACGCTGTAAAAGCATGTGAGCAAGATACTATCTTTAAAGTAACATCAGTGAAGCTTGGTGTCAGTTGTATAGTGGATGTTACAGTCTAAAAGCAAATTTTCCTGATAAAGCAATTCTACTCATTCCTGATGTTAGGAGTGGTATAGGGAGGCTGAAATTAGTTATTCTCTTCAGAAGTACCTTCTGAATTCAAAGGTGTCCCCACACTATATGGCATTATTTCATCTGGTATTCTGACATTGTTTGGTCTGTGTAGTGTACATCCATAACTTCTACATCACTATTTTTTCCTCCACTTCTTAGAGGACTGATTAATTTCTTTCTTTAATAGTCATTTTGTGGAACAGAGGTGATGTTACTTGTTGCAGATCATATCAAATACATGGGATAACGTACTAATATCAGGTATATTAAACTACCACAGTACAATATGACATTTATGCAAAAAGCTCTTTAAATAGAGCTGTATTATATTTTTAAGAGTTTGTCTTTGTTTCCTTAATCTCTTTTAACTTTATTTTCAGTTTTCTGTCATGCTGTCCATTGAGAAATGCAGAATGACATAGCTCACTGAAACAGAGTATTTGATATCAAAGTGAAGTTCTACACTCTACACTTCCTCTTCACTGTTCAGAAGCTTATGAAACAGTCTGCAGAAAAAAACCTTAAAACTATCTTCATAAATTCTTGGATGTTAGGGAAGGAATTTCAGCTAAATTTCTTCCCCAGGTTGAAATGTACTAAAGTATAAATCTAGATTATTTTTTTTCAGGCAGTTACCTTTTCAGGCCTTCAGTTTTGGGCAGGCTTAGAAAGGTGTTAATTTATACCTAGTTAGTTTTATAGCAGATTAACTTGCGTGGACTGTAAGACCATCATCCTCTAAACATTTATTAATAGGAGTTATACCTCTTTTGTGAGTAGCTCTATTAGTTCAGGGTAGAGTTCATTTTCTGCAGCTGAAATAAGTATGGGTGAAGGTAGTGGTAAATTCAGGAAGTATGAAGAAATAACTATCTTCTCTTCACCTTGTTAGTGGGTTCAGGCTTCATAGTTTTGTATCCTTTTGCCAGTGTATTCTGGTTTATCTTACAAAAAAAAAAATCATGACAGTCTGTCAACAGTGTAGTTCAGTAGGGCTACTGCCACCAAGTGGGTTATAGTAGCTTAATATGGAGGGGGGGTGGAAGTAACCCTTACTCTTGAAATAGATGAACAGCATTCATTCTTCTGCTAAATCAAAATATACATTATAACAATTCCTGTCTGAGTTCCTCTGAAATTCTCAAAAGGAAAACAAAAGTCTTCAGTTATCTCTTCTGCTTAATGGTGAAGTTGTGTAATAGTGAGGAACCTGAGACTGAAATTACTGCTTTGCAAAAAATCTTTTTATCTTTCTTTTTAGATCAGATGACATATGGTTTGTTTTTCTGACCTTTGCCATAGTCTTGATAAGTCCCAAGGGTACATCAAGGCTTTAGATCCAGCAGTCAGCACTAGTTTATGCTTTCTTGGTTTGAGGGGGACATGGAGGGGGGGGGAGAAGTGGAACTGTCCAAGCTACGTGCTCACACACACAGCGCTTCTCAATGAGGTAACATTGTACTCCTCTTCATGGAGGTGCCCTGCCTCACTAGAAAGTAAATGTGTATGCATACCTGCAGAACAAGTCACCTCCCCTTCATACAATTTAGAAAAAATAATGCACCTGAGAAAATTGAGGAGGGCAGAGGGAAGAAATTACTTTTGACCCTAAAGTCAGCCTTCTTTCTAGGATGAAAAATAGTAAAACATATAATAAATGCATTAGTATAACCAGATTTAATATACAGATCTGTCATTCTTTTATTTATGTATGTGTTTGTAAACCTGAGAGGGCAGTGTTCAGTACACTTCAATTCCTGGCTGTACTGCATCGCCATTTAAATGTTTACACAAACTTGCACTTATAATCTTGATTATAAATTTTCCTGAATTGTGTTCTCTGAATAGAGCATGAAAATAAAATATAGGCCATCATGGATAAATTACCATTACTACTAAAGCAAATCTGAAAAAGTGTTTTTTTTTTTTTTTTTTTAAGCAGCAGAAGACTTCTCAAATTAAGAGATAGCTGTGTTGTATGGCAAATCTAATGCATTAGCACTAGATTTATGAAAGTTGTTGGCTCCCCTCCATTTTTATTGGAGCTTATCACAAGGCTATAGGCTTTAAGAGAAGCAGAGGTCACAAAGGTGGAGTATTAAGATTCTTTCAAAAGTGTCTTCAGAGACAAGTGATATTATACTGTATTGTTTGTGCTTGCTTTCTTTATGCTTGATAACACTTATAAAATACTGCTATATGTGAAGTTTTTTGTGAAACTAAATTTTATTTTTTTTCTTTAAGAGGAATACCACCTCAATCTCCCAGCATGCTTCTAACATAAATATTACTTACACACACAGGGGGCTGAGTTTTATATTTAACTGTAGCTGATGAACAATTGTAATAGTGATTATTGGTGAAGAAGAAAAAGGGTTCTAGCTGGACTCCACAGGGTTATTTCTTTTTGTTTGCAAGAAGCATATCCCCCAAAGCAAGACTGAAGGCCATTTTGTTCCTCCTGTTTAAATTAAACCACCTTTCCAGTGAACTGTTACCTTGTAAGTTAAAAATTAAAACAATGTAAACCATATTGCTTGTGATCTCAGAGGTTTTTTGGCAAGAGAGAGAGAATTGGTAGCATACTTAATGCCTTTTTTTAAACTTCATGCAGGCACACATCTATTCTTTGGGTGCAACGTTGAAAGCAGCAATAGAATATATAGTAGAACCTGAGACAGAATCAGAATTTGGGCAAGATCTGCATACTCTACTGGAACAAATGCAAGAAGAGAATCCTGAAAATAGGCCAGATATTGAGGTAAAACAGCCCTTCATAATCTTCTGTTTTAAAAAACTGACAAAAATATTTCTGTATGTGTGCTCATTGATAGAGAGATGGTCTTTATATTTAATATGCTCAGATTTTGCCAGAAAGCTGAGATTTTCCCAGACTAAGAAGAAATTCTTCTTTCTTCCTGCTCTAATGGAGATACAACCTGAAAAGCAGATGTAGATGTTTTATGGTGATTCGATTTTTAAGAAGGTTGGGTGAATACCCTTGTGGATCTAAATTTTCTTATTAACTGTTTCTTCCCATTTTATACTTAGTTTACGAGAGAGAGTCATTAGAAGTTAGAGCACAGGCATTGTGCTGTGAAATTTGTATGGTACCTCAAATGATGTTTGGATTGCATTTAAGAAGGGGGTGGAAGGAGCCACACCCCAGGAAGCCTCTGTTCCTTGGCATGTTCAAAGCAGCGTTGTTCAAATCATTACTACTAACAAGGGGTTTTTTGTAAATATATACATGTTTAGTAGTATTTGATTAGATATGTTAATTGTTTTTGTATCTTATTCCACTTATCCTCTTATTCTAAATTTAGTTTTTAGAAATAATTTTAAGATATATGGGATTTTTCAAGATGAAGTTTTGAAAGAATTTACATTCTAAATGTTGGTTACCTAATACAGTGTTATTTGATAGATTCACTTTTATAAAGCAAATAATATTGTCTCCCTGGCTGATGACTGCCCAGGCAGGAGACCATGCCTGATGTAGAGCCTGCTTCATCAAATCCTGTATTTCTATTCATTTACTTTTAAGCATAGTCAGGAAAGGGATTGTATAGTAGTCCCTTTAATCTCCAATTGGTCTGTAGTCCCTGAAAACTAATATATATGAATAATATATGAAGGTTGGTTTGTGACTGTGTTCTCTTTTCCATTCCTTTTCCACTGGGCCCTTTCTTGGGTGGAAAGGAGTGGTGGGAGCTATATGGAGGGGAAACCCGTAGGCTTTTTTAGGCATTTCATTAGACTCAAGCACAGCTGGATACCTGTCTCACTTTTTTTTGTGCTTCCTCGATCTGATATAGGAACCAACGGAACCAGTTTCTTCCTTCCACTCACAACAGCAGAGCAGTTGAGCAGGTTAATGGGGAAGTAAGAGCAGGTCCTTAGAGCCGTGTGAGGTCTCATCAGTGTTTATCTAGGAACAGTTACTGAGGGAACAGTGGATTGCATTTGGAAAGGTAGCTCTCTTCGACTTCCTACCCAAAGTGACAGGTTTTTAAATGTGTGAATGTCTGTAGTTAGTTGTGTGTGAGACCAGGGCTAATGCCATCAAATGATGCTCAGGCTACAGATTAGAGATATCTAATACTGTTTCTTCTTGTGATCTGATAATGATTGCTTTCTCTAATTGGGAATAGTGCTTTCTAGATATTTGTATTTTGTGGTTTTTAAAAGATTCAGGATTTATTTTTAATCTAATTTGGTAATAAAAACATTCATCAACCTGCCTATGTCACTCAATTCAAGTGAATCACTGGCTGTTTAAAAAATAACCACACTAGCTTTTTATGTTTTCAGTATGTTATTCATAAAGGATAACATTTAAGATTATTAATTTTTTATTTTCTTAGTGTTCTAACTGTAGGCTAGAATTTGAACTGTGTTAAATAATTTCATGATAGCCCATAGTAAAAATGGGAAATTAATTTAAACACATAATAGAAACATACAGTATAATGAACAGTGCAAGAAAGACCTCCAATATAGCATCATATAAATTCAGATGTGCTGTGTGAGTTAACATGATTCACTTTAGTAAAAATTCACAAATGTATTCATTATTAAATAAGTATTTAACACTAATTTTCTCTAGAGCATTTTGTCATTGTGTGAAGAAAAACTGAAGATTACTTCATCAAGTAATATTTGTCGAAACCTGTCTGCTGTTGGAAGAAGGGTTCTTTCAATTGAATCATTTGGTGCTTCTCAAGGTAACATTAAAGTGTATTTAGTCTAGAACTTTAGATTGCCTGACATATCATCTGGTGATTTTAAAAATACTATGTTTGTGTACTTTCCTGTTACAGGTTCCTTTCTAGATATCAAAAAGTCATTATTAAATATTTGTGGATTTAGCGTGGGGAGCAGGGGACATACAACTCTTAATGAACGTAATATACTTAGAGTGTCCTTCATGATTAAAAGTGACTTCTCCAGAAATAATTAATTTGCATAACATACTGAAGATACGTAACAGCAGTGGCAGAAAAAGCAGTATAAAGATTTACTAGGAAAGATTAGAAGGTTTAAATACACATTTAATACAAGCATTTGTTTTTGCACCTAGATGTCTGTGATAACATGTGGAAGGGAAGAATGTGTCAGAGAAGTTTGGGATCTAAATTGTATTCGAATGAGAAAAACAACATAGCAGGTGATTCGTCTACAGTGGAAGATGTGACAGCTACCTGTCATAAGGACTCTTCTATAGTTACTATGGTGACTGGCAGAGAAAGTGGTTTAAAGGAAATGCAAATTGATCTGGATAATGAGAAAACTCAACATTCTCAACTTGCAACTCAAGCTAAAAAGAGCAAAGAAGAGGACAAACATGCAGTGTATACTGACAGTTTTGCTAGTGTTGCTTTGGATATAAAATCATGTGTTATTGACCTGGAGAGAGATGGCATTTTTAAGAAAGGTTCTTTGAGAAAAATTAAAACCTTTCCAAAGCTACCACTTGAACCTGGAGATACAAATAACTTTTTTACTTCTATAACCAACAGTGGACCACTAGCTAGGAAACATCACTTGCTAACACAAGAGTCACTACCTCTAGACAATAATAATGAGGTTGCTTTTTCAAAGGGAAATCTTAATTCATTTGCTATTAGTAGTCCACCAAAAATAGAACCAAAGAATCACCAGGTTAATGATCTTCATTTAGAAGCTCCATGTGTATGCACACAGGTGTCTGGCATGAATCTAGAAGAACATATGTCACTTATTAATGGTAAAAAGATAGGTTTTGCTTCATCTGATCACAAAGAAGACTGTTCTGATGCTACCTCTGAAATGCCAAATACAGCTGGTATGCTAAAAGGCCCAAATCGATCAATTGCTGGAGCAAAAATGCTAGACAATTACATGGTGTTGGAAGATTCTTCTGAAACTTTTCAAGGGTCAAATGAAAATTCTTTACCACATTTTAACAACGTGGCTTCAGTGTTAACGACAAAACCCAGTGGGAACAGATATGGATCAAACCTAATTAGGTCTCCAGAATTAAGCAACGGTGTGATGAGCGCAAACAATAATGAAGATAATCTTTGTGGAGGCAGAGGGTCAGAAATCAAAAGTAATGAGCAGGTAGTAAAAATAAAGTCTTCATTATATGGTTGCTGTAGTCACTTATGTGGAGATGAAATGACTTAAATACTGTGTGATTTATTCCCCCTTCATCCCCTTTAGCATCCTGGAAAATTGAATTTTGCTAGTCTGCACACTTTAAGAGTTAATATTGGAAACATGGTGATCTTTTTTTCCTCTTTAAAAGTAAAGTGCTACAGTGAAATTTATGCTATTGCAAAATCAACTCTCATTTTAAATTTTTTTTACAAATGGAGTATACTTGCTAATGTGTTAGAACAGCATACTTAATAGTTGCTTACATTTGTAAGAGAATATTACCAAAGCATACATACATTTTTTTAACTCTTTATGTTACTGTTAGTGCATAAAGTTCACTACCTTGCAGTGGGCCTCCCAGGTGCTTGTGAAAATTGCAGAGTTCCTGACTGTAAACCTGACCTCATTGAAATCAATGGCAGTATCCCATCTGCTTTAGGAGGTGAAAAGACTGCGCTTTTTTTTATCTACATGTACATTTAAGTTTTTGAAAATTGTACATATGCTGTATCTGTTCTGTGTTCTTGAACTACCGCCTCTGTGTTTGTTATGTATATTTCATGATAGAATTCGAATATGTGCACAGTATAATGGATATGTTGTCTCAAGCATTTCATCTTTATAAATAGCCAAATAAGAAGAAGGAGAGCTGATAATTAGTCTACTAGAATTTGTTGATAGATAGTTGCAGTATGGTCTCTTCTCTGCTCAAATTACATATTCTCAGGGTGGACAAGTTTGGTCTCTGACTAGATGGTTTTCTCTTATGCTACACTTAAAGAGATGTAAACAATCCATGTGATAGGAGAGCTGCTGGCTACAAATGCAGAATGGTTGATACTTCTCCAGCCTTGCTGTGACTTGATAAAAATGAGCAGCACAAACTTCACACATTTCATTTCCAGAAATTGTGCTTAGGTAAAGATATTGGGTTTTTTCCTTACTTGTGTGCTGACAACTCAGCCTTGTTCTCCTTGCCTAATAGCCAGTCTTCCAGCCATCATATGCAGTGGCACCTAGAGTTATTTTCAGTCTGCATCCATCCCTCTTTTCAACTTGCCCAAACACCTCCACTGGAGTAGTAACTTAGGACTGTCAAGTGTGTAAAGAACCTTTGGTTCATCATAGCTAAAAAAATTAATGCAACATTGACAATTCTGTTCTAACTGCTTTTCTCCCTTTCCTGTCTCTTCTCCCATTAATAGCATGTGTGCTTATTAAATTCATAGTGCAGGAGGATGGTAAATACGTATAAGTACCACATGGCATAGTTTTACTCTCTGAGGGAGTTACTCATTGCATGCATATTGAAACCTTTAGTTTTTAAATCCTGTAGGTGCATTCTTCAGACTCTGGGAAAAGATCCATCTATTGTAGACACATCTCTTCCCCTACCCGCAGCCCCACACCCCCCCCCCACCCCCCGCTCTGGACTATGCAACCTTACATATTCAGAACAGAGTGCAAAGTAAGATTCAGATTTATAATCTTTCCAAAGTGCTCTGCTTTTGCTGTGTCACTTGTTACTCTGGATTTACATGAACCTGCTTCATTTGGTAGATGTGCTTGTATTTTTGGCAAGGATCATAGCAATTTCAGTCACTGACTTCGTGAGAAAGCTTGTTAGTATACAGAGTTCTAGATATGTCTTAGTATTCAAGCAACAGAAACAACTGTCTTTCATCTTACATGCAAATCTCTTTTTTTCCTGAATGGAGTTTTTAATAATTTTTTTATGTTAAACTGTATAAACCTAGGATTTAATTTGCATGTTTATTTGTCATGGAGAAGATGCCTAAGACAAAGCTATCAGACCACTGTAAAACCACTGCAGCTCGTTTGTTGGGTTTTTTTGGTTTGGGATTTTTTTGTTGTTTTGGTTTTTTTTTTCATTCCAAGAAATAAAGGTACCACACTTAAGTCCCTTGCCTTGAGGTGGAATTGGGCTTACTTAAGCCTCCGTGTTAACTAGAGAGGTGTGGTGAATAAGCTGCCATCACTTAAGAACATAAATTGATTGCAGTGATAGGTGTTATTCTTTAAGGAGGAAAAAAAATCTGTTGAAATAAGACCTATATTCTGTCCTTACTGGATTACCAGGACAACAGTGTAAGTCTGGGTACATGAAGATACTTTCAAGAAAATAATCTTCCTCAGAATTACAGTTTCCCAAAATTCTTGCACGATTTAAAAGCTATAACAAATGTCCTGTTTGCTTTTCCTGCAGCAGCACTTGAGATTGGCACACAGGAAAGTGAACCAAAATGTTTTCAGGTTATTCTGAAAATTCATCTGAAATCCTCTTTTTCTTCAAATATTTCATCATCAATTTAAATAAAGTGTTCTTTCAACCTGAACAGCATTTCATTCTTCCAAATAAGTAGGCTCTTAGTAGAAGTGAGGTTACCCTGCTCCCACTGAATTCACAGGACAATCACAGTGAATTAGGAAATGTAACTATTATTCCAATTACCCTAATAAGCAGTGTTGTTATACATGTGATCTGAAATGAAGACAGCAGGGTCGTTGTTGTCTATGAAACCAGTGTTTTATAGCTGTGTTTTCAATAGAAGAAAGGTTTGATAGACTTATGTTCTAGATTCTTTTTTTAGGAATCAGTTCCAGCAAATGTTCTGCTTCTGCTGCATAAAAATATTATGCTCTGTAGAGAAATCAGAAGTTGGTCTTAAAAAAAAAAAAACAACCACAAAAAAAACCTAAAAAAACTTATTTGATTATTTAACTGATATAGGTAGAAAAAAGCATTTAAATATATCAATATCTGTGAGCCACACCTAGGTTTCTGAAATGGCTATCTGTTTCCTGAAATGCTGAGCTTCTAGCCTGGTAATCTTTTATTTGTTTTCTGAAGGAGGGTCATTCATTTTCGGTACTCATTGAACTGTATGGCAGGCTCTATTATAAGCCTTCTTATAGAAGGGGAGGGCATTTACTGTTTTCAGATTCTTTTTCTTCCTTTGGAAAACAGATTTTATTCCTCAGTCTTCTGAAACATAGAAGTTTCTGCCTCTGTCTTCCTGACAATTGCAAAAATAAGGCCATACTGTACTATCCCTTATGTGAAAAAGTTACAACTGATATATATCTCTCTCTCTAGTTCCCTTTCGTTTCTCTGGGCCAGAATTTTACCAAATACCTAAAAATGTTTGATTTTTTTTTTTTTTTTTAAAGAAGCTAAAACTTGAGTCGGAGTTTCTTCATTTGCTGCAAAGGCACAAAAAGTGTGAAGCTCCAACTAATGTGATTTCTGTCTTCTGGGCTAGAAAACACCTCAGCTGATTTACACCACTGCGTTTTCTATAACAGATAAACATGATTGCAGCAGATGGAGCTTTTAGAATAGTATCTCTAGCATCTCTTTAAATATTTCTTGTTCTTTAGAGAAAGTACAATACCAGTCCCGTCTGGTTGAAGATCAACCTTGTCTACTCTGGAGAAGAGACAGTTTTTCTTGCCTGTCAATACTTCTCCAGTGGACAATATTTTTCTAATACTCCAACACTGCTGCTTAATGTCGTGTGCTTTACTGCTAGTAAGCATTACTAAAAATACTTACTTGCTTTTGTCTGGCTACTGCAATGTATCTTGTGAGGGTTTTCCTAGAAATTTTTATAGTTTTGCATGCCATAAATAAATATTTTTCACTTCAAGTTTGAGTGGGGATCTTTTATTTCTCTAACCAATTTCATTCCAATCAGGTATGTCTCATCTCTAATGCTTGTAAATGTTTCTCTGTGATTCAAATGCTATGGCCTTTACATGGGAAGGGTTAATGGGAACCTGGCATACATACATTTGTTTTCTGTTGGTCATTCATACCCAGTCAAGCATGAGAGAAGTGAAAAGCCATGTAGCTAGAGAATGACACTTGAACACTGGGGAAATAACACTTGAAGGAAAGAAAAGTTGTCAATTTCCAGAATAGTACTTATTAAGAAAATAATAATTCAAATCTTGCTTGCTTTGGCTTTTAAAATGTGCAAGCGTTATGTTCATAAAATATAGTACGCTGGCATAGTCTGAATGCTTACTAAAAGTTTGATTTTACAATTCTGGTACCAACAATGAAGTAAAAGATCTGTTAAATGATCTTTGTGGCACTGAAGAAAAAAAACATTAGTTTTTCAACAAGTGAGGTTTAAAATGCAACTTTTTTGGCATGAAACAAAACGTCACCAGTATGTAGATATAGACAATAATTGGTCATGTGGCTTTTTCATATTTTCTATCAAAATTTCTATGCTGTGAAAAACATTTTCTTATTTTAAAAAATGGATTATATAATTTCTGTTATGAAAAGGTCCGTTTTAGAACATGAAGAAAAAATTTCAGGAAGAGGCACTGGATTATAATTTTGTTTGCCCTTTGATGCATTTTCACTGGTGAAAATATATTGATAAATGTTTTGTATCAGTATTAAAATAGTGTTAATGCTTTAAATGAAGTGGGCTTGAGGCCTTATGGATGCTGAACAGTTGTCTTGAGCTTACTTTGCTAAACTGTCTGAATAGATAATTAAGAAGCAATGCATGCTACGGGTGGTTTGACTAAAAATTTTTTTAATCATATATTTTCCAGCACTTCAGGTTTTATTTTTTTTCTTCATGGTTGGGTGGAGTTTTTTGAGGGGGTAAGAAATAGTAATAGCTGTGAATCAGAGACTTGCATGTTAAAAACCAAAACAACCAAACCTGAGACAGATGCCTAAATAAGGGAGTTTTACACTTAAATGTTTACCAAAACATGAACAGGTTCAATGAAATTTGAACGTGCGTTGCATTAAATACTTTTGAGGTATTTAACATTAAATACCTCAAAGGTGAGGTATGAGGTACATTGCATTACATACCTTTATTTAAAGTTTGAGGCTTAAATAAAAATTGCCTTATAACCTTAGGTTGAGAAGTGTATTATTTTTCATTTGGAAACTATTTTAACCAGATTGCATGTGTTTTTCATCACAGATACAAATGTGTGATGAAATATGTCTTATCATGTACCTTGACTATATCAGATAACTTTTAAAAGGTGTTAGAAGGACAAGTCCCCAGCTGGTCTGAACTCTCAGTCTTCAGGTGAAGTCTTCCAGAATTATCTTTTTCTGGTGTAGGAAGGTGAGCATTTGGAGTAATCAGGGCACTAGAAGAATTACCTTCTCAGGTATTTTTTTAGGAATAAAATTAATCTTTTGATATGGTCAAAGTAGGAAGAGACTTGAATTATGTTAAGAGACAATAGCAATGCAGTTACTATCACAGGAGAGGAACTAGCATATGAATACTAGCTAGCAATATTAATATTTGAAATGCAATCTTTGTTTAGGATGCTTGCCAGAGAGAAACAATGAGGGTATACATTTAAATAAAGTTTGCCAACCTATAACCAGGTGACATCCTTTTTTTTCATGACTCAGGTTAATTTGGCCATCCTGTGGATGGCAATGATTCTCATTTCTGCTAAGATTTGCTTTTCCTACATCCTTTTCTCTTCTGAAACAGACTTTTTCTGATGCCTTTTCATCTTCTATTTTGTTAGCTATCATTGACACTTTCTTCTTTCTTATCATAAACCTTTGCTGCTGCTCTTAGGGTTTATTCCTACTTTCCTGCTGTGCTTAAATTTATTTCTGACATTTCTTTCTTCCTCTAGAGAGCTTGGGTATCCCAGAAGTGATGAGAAATACCTTTCAGCTTTCTGCTGTACATCTAACTTCAGTCTCCAGTTTAGTGAGAGATTATTCTTCTCCTTGCTAGCCATTCATTACCTTCTCCTGAAGTGAGAGGTGATTTGTATATGTGACAGAGGAAGTCCATCTTTTTCTGCTGCAGTTTATAGACCCTCTAGGGACATAAACTGCAAGAGTAGAGATTCTCTTACAGAGAAACATGTGGCAGTGGTGTGTACTTATTAATATTCCCAAATCCCCAAACCTTCTGAATGTTCTAGTCAGTCTGTGGAATTTCTCATTTGATTTCTCTCAACTTGTGTCATCTGTGCAGGGTGAATTTGAAGATTTGGCTGCTTCTTTCATAGTAAAGTGCCTGTGAGCAAAGGGATAATAATCAATCAACAGTATGAAGCTCTACCTTGAACGTTCTGTAGTCTAATTCATTCTTTCGACTATCTGTCCTTTTCCTTCCTGCTGTGTGATTGATGTCTTCTTATCAGACAGTTCAAGAGCTTACTTTTCTAGATATAATGAACAAACATAGTGATGAAAGAATTTTGCACTCCAGGATGCTGGTGATAGCAAAAATTGAGAATGAAGATTAACCTTATTACCTAGCTTCCAATCTGTCTATGCTGATGTTACTAATTTTTGTGATGTGCCACAATGGAGGATGGGAGAATAAAAGCACCAAATTCATTTTTATGTGTGTTGGAGGTAGGCAGAATATAAAACACTTCAAGTAAATCAAAACGTGTTTGCTGGCACATCTTGTTAAAAATTTGTAGTTTATCTGGTTCACCTTCAAGGAATATTTAAACAGTACGAACCCAAAGTGTTATGTTCTTTGAGAAGGTCTTCTGGTAAAAATCAAATTATCAACAGTTTCAGCTACAGAAATTAATGTGGTTCTTTTTCTCCTCCCCATAGATCACAGGGAAGCTATTTCTGTTTGTTAATCTTGATGAAAGTTAGTGCAGTAGTCTGTTCATTACATATTTTATGATAAAATCCAAATAGTACCTCATTGAAGGGTGTTTCATAGCCAGGATAATGAAAAACTGACTGCAGTAAAGGACAGTGCAGTGACTGATTTGTCAAATGTAATGATATACTACATTGTGTGTGTGAGAAAGACCCTTAGTCTATATAGATTTTACAAACATTGATTGGAATACAAAGGTGTCTGTAAAAACAACAGAACAGTTCAGAGGTTTTAATTTTTGATTCTGCCTCCTGTGCTTCGGTTTTGTTTTGTTTGTTTTTTTTCCAGAGTTAATCCTGAATTGCTTCTGGTAGTTCTTTTCCCCAACATGGTCTAAAGTTGACATTTAGAGATAGTTTACTATCTTAGGGCTGCATATGCAACAGAAAATGTGCTGCACTGATTTTGAATTAGTTGGATGTGTCTGCTCTAACCCAGAGGTTTCTGCCTACAGTGAGTTTTTACTGTTCCTTTGGTAGATGAATGGAGATCATGAAGTCCAGCTGATGTCAAGAGCCATTAGTAGCAATAAGCTCTTCCTTTAGCACAGCTTGATCAGGAAGGTGTCTGTGCAGTACTATCAATGTCAAGTTCTTATATTCACCCCCCAAAAAAAACAATCGCAAAATTATAATATGGATTCTCTGAAGAACAGTACCTTTCCATGGAGCAGTATCTTTGTCAGATTAAGGTATTGTGCCAGGTATCAAAAGCTAAATTGATAGGCAGAAAAGCAAATGCTGTTACTACAAATTGAGCAGCCAGTGATTAAAAACAGAGCAATGTGCTTGGACTTCAAATAAACTTGTCATTACTTCTGTCAATATTGTTAACGTCTTTCACAGAAGAACAAGAAATGTTGATGAAATCTTTGAGGTAAGACTTGTAATGCAACTGTCAGGGTAAATCAGGATTTGAATGTGGGATTTTGTTTTTGGTGGCAGTGATCATTTGCATTTTTATGTTATTAAATCTAGATGGTGTCCCTACAATTATGTGTCATCTTTGACATTCTAAAGAGTCTCCACTTAGTATGATAACAAAGAGGTTTAAACAGCTCACTTTTCCTGAAACACTTCTATTGCTGAAATCTCACTTAAATTATACTTTTGTTACACAATTGAGGAACTACTGGTTCATCTATACAGCTAGCTAACTGTGCATTGCTTTTTCAGTAAGAAGTATCAGTTCATTACTGGCAAGTGCAATAAATACCTTTTCTTAATGCTTTTTAGACGAGTGCATTATATATTAGGATTTACTTCATTGCATCAGCAAACATTTTAGGTTTGTGATAATTTTTACTAACTTTCTGCATACTCACTATTTTTTTCAGTGGATCTCTCTAAAACTCCTGTTGTCCTGGTATGGTAAACCTCTGAAAGACTATGAACTCTGGGCATTGTGTCATGAGTGTTTATGTACTCTGCAGACTTGCATAGATCATCCAGGTATCATCCTAATTATCTTAAAATATTTGCTTAGTTATTTGTGTTCACTGTACTAATGTTTTCTTTATTCTGTTGATGCAAAATATCTTGACTTCCATTTTGTGTACATAAAAAATAATAGGCAATATTTCTAACGTCACTCTTTTAAATTGTGACTTAGAATTTTTACTCCCTCTGGAGTTTTCTTCCATATATAGAATGTCTTAGTTTTGCTTTATTATGAGTTTTGATGGCTTTTGTGGGGGAAACAAACCTTTATGACTTCAAGCAGTGAAACAAATTTTGTATTTAGACATTTTGGGGATGGATAAACTGTACTGTGACTTTTAAGAAAAGCACTTGGGACTTGTATCTCAAAAGCAAGAGGAAATAAGTTTTATATATACATAAACATAAATCTTCCTCTCTTGCCTGAATTTCTTTGCGATAAATGATTCCTGACATATTTTTGACAACGCGGACCTTTGTCAGTTTAAAGTGCAGAGTCTTTTCATGACGTTATAGAATCATAGAATCATTTGGGCTGGAAGGGACCTTTAGAGATCATCTAGTCCAGCCCCCCTGTGGTGAGCAGGGACATCTCCAACTAGATAAGGTTGCTCAGAGCCCCATCCAGCCTGACCTTGAATGCCTCCAGGGATGGGGCTTCCACCACCTCTCTGGGCAACCTGTTCCAGTGCTTCACCACCCTCATTGTAAAGAATTTTTTCCTTATGTCAAGTCTAAATCTACCCTCTTTTACTTTAAAACCATTACCCCTTGTCCTGTCACAGCAGACCCTGCATTTACATTAAGCATAGTGAAGGATTTAATGGCTTTAGATGTGTTTTGTACAGGTAACTACAAAAGCAAAAGGATGATTTCCTTTTTTCCTTACTTTATTTTTTTCTCTTAGACATCTTCAATTTATTATTTAGTAATAAATGAATATTTGTTTTACTTTGACCTCCTTAATATTTTATTTAGTATTTAATAAATTTAATTTTTAAACTTCTTATTTAATTTAATGGAAGAATCTATTCTCCTAGTGCTATGTTTTTAATAAGAAAATGGCATATTTGATGATAGTCTAGAAAGGCAGGACTACATTGCTAGTCAATTGGCTTATTATATTGAAACATGTTAAATTACAGTGTGCGTGGAAGATATGAAATAGATAAGACACAGTCTTACCACAGGTTTTTCATCATTGAATTTGTATAACATGATCTAATGACCTTAATGTTAAGTTCCTGAAGACCTCAGATCATTTTAAATAGTTTTAGACGTCAGTTAATTCTTTCCTAACTATGGAAAATTTCAGGACCTTGCAATCTATGTAACACTTCTTCAGTGGGAGACTGTGTGTGATTATAACTATTTGTGCAAAACTGGACTCGATATCCTACCCCACCTAGAGGAGTTCTGGATCTAGCCACATGTCTCAGCTGTCTTCAGATACTGACCCTGTATTTTGGTGGAGTTGGAGGAGGGAAGAGAGGAGAGATTAAATGCTGAAGATAAATTGACTGTCTTTTATTGGTACCTTGTGAGAAGACTAGAGTACATCTAGCTGTCATCTTTCTTTTTTTTGCTTTGTTCCTTTCTTGGCCTTCCTTTTCAATGCTGGGTATAAAGAGAATAAACTTCTGGTATTCTAAGCCCTTTTATTTATTGTGATCCCATTTTGTTTTACTTTCTTGTCTTTGTTCTGCAGGAATTGCTTTGGGTGATTGCTCATCTGCTGTCTCTTTACTGGGTGGTGTCTGTTCTAGCATTAGTGTTATTTAAAGCAACATTTATCATAGGGTAATTGTTAACATTGCAAATTATTTTTTAATTTATTTAATTTATTTTTATTAGCGTCAAATAGTTACAAGAACAGATATTTATTATTCCTTGCCCTTTTGTGGCTTATTTTGCAGTGGTCTTATGTTTGGACTCAGTGCTGATTGACTGCCATGGAAGTATCCTCTTTGCTGCTCCAAAGGCCGGAGGTAAACTAATACATTGTGTGCTGTGCTTTTATTTCTTTTGGGGGAGAATGGACAAGAAAGCAACCATCTTACCTCTTGTTTCTGGTTTCTTTTCTCATTTAGAATCTTGTGATATATTTTATTTAGCTCCTGAAATTGAAGAGGAGGATGTGGATACTGAGAAGGTAATGTGGTAGGTTATGTAGGTTGCTATGCATTTTATCAAAGGACAGTTGCATCCCTCTGATGCTTGAAGAAGAAAGCTAAACTGTTCTAAGAGTCTGATAGTATTTGTAATTTCTTCTAATATTTCTTGGTTATCTGTGGATTTTTTTTATATATTGATCTCCCATAAAATTAGTTGCTTCTGAAAAATAATTCTGCCTTCCAAAATTGTTGGAGTAACTGCCAAAAATTTGTTATCCAATAGTTTTCCATAAGGTTTAATTATTTTCCATTTGTTAGCAGTAAGACAGACTTTGAAGTTATGTTTTCATGTTCTGGAGATCACGCTAAGATCAGTATTTTAGACTGTCTAGGCTAAAGCCCAAACATTAATCTCATTTGGAAGATTGGATAAAAATATCACTATCAACATATTTTTACTATGGGAATGTTATGAATTATGTCTCCTACCAATACAGTTTTCCTTGAGCTTTTTGCTATAGATATAAGCCATAAGGAGCTCCCAGACCAAAGATGATAAAAATATTAATGAATAGCAGGTGAGTATGTGTCTCCACTGCAACGGCATCTGAATTGTAGACTGTACCACAGTGATCTTAAAGAGTTAGGAAAATAGAATTTACAGTACCTTTCTATTATGTAATGAGAAAAGAGGTTAGCTAATACATACCTTGTGCCCCATCAGTTCTTTAAAATTGGACACAGTCATGAATCAGGAAAAAAAACATTCTTCACTAAAAATCTACTAAAGACAGAGTTTAATTTTCTGTAAAATTATCTGTAACTAGAAAATGTTTATATATCTTCTTCTTTAAAATTGCTTTTTCTTTTTAAACTGCTTTGATCCAACATGCAGGTTTTTCAAAAGCTTCAGAAGCTTAAACTAACCCTGAAATATAATACAGCAGTTTCACCAGAGAGTAGAAACTAATAATCCTAAAATTTTTATGCTTTATTCTTTTCCTTTAGAAAATCTGAAGTAGTCTTTTTCCCTTGTTTTTCTACAACATTATAGCTAGAATAAGCTGACCTGTTTTTTTGGCTTTTTCTTGATACTTGTATAACTTTCTGGTTGTTATGAACATTTAGTTAGAATTATGGTGTGGGAATCAAGACTGTGTAGTGCCAGTCACAATAACTATGCTACCTCAGTAAAAGGGAGTTTTTGAAGGATATGCTGGATTGAATGCCAAGTTTTTCCTAAATAATAAATTTAGGTTGAAACTGTGATCCCATTGACCTCTTGGAATTCTGAGCTGAAGGAGAAGAAATTTTTTTTTGTTTTGATGGAGCTGCTTTCTCCTATTTCAAATATTTTTGTACCTATTAGTAGCTTCTATTCAAGGGTTCAAATGGTTCATAGGTTATTTTCTTTACAGTGACCTTCCTTGTTACATTTTGTTCATTGCTGTTCACTTTCCTCAGAAGACTGCTAGAACACATTGTTCTGTGGGACCACGTTATTTAGTACTGTGCTTAGGTTTCTGTCCCTTGAGCTTTTTTAATGTCTTTCAGAGGCAATGTGAAGAAGCATGGTTCTTTAACTTTGTCAAAATTGTGTTTGTAGTACATGCTAACATATGTAAACTAAGCATTAAGCAGACTAAATCTGGCTCTGTCTGAAAATTGTAATTCTTCAAATAAAACAAGAAAGCTTGTGAAGATCAAGTACTTTTCAAGGTCCCTCATCATGGCAACTTCAATTGGTCTAGCTGCAGGTAGCACAATAATTGCTAAAATAAATATACAGTACCTCATTCTTCTGATAGGTGTAATCTTCTCTGTAAAATATGACTTGTACTGGCGAGCTTGTAATTATGGTGTGTCATTTACTTGCTGAACTATAGTGACCTTTCTAAGTAAATTGTGGCTGGCCAGATTTTATGGTAGAACTCTAAGGCTTGCAGCAATCTTAAGTTTTTACATGAGAAAGGAATTCTTCAAAATGGTTCTAAAACCACTTTTTTCTTGAATAATTTTCCTAGACAAATGATAAGACAAATTATGTCTGTTGCTCCAACAGTAGAAAATTAGCTACTATTATTAGTCCTGCGTGCATAAGAGCTAGGTTTTGAAATGGGTTGAGATTTTCATCAGCATCTACAAAAGCCAAATGTGATCTGTACTTTGGAAGCTCTAGTAATTTTATTTTTTTTTTGCAGGGAATGAGGGGAATTTTTTGATAATTTGCTGGAGTTGGTTTTGAAGTGGAAGCTTTTTTTGGTCTGTTTACATCTTTCCTGTCTTGTGTTATACCAATAGGTCTGCATTTATGGTGTTGCTGCAGTTCTGTGGACGGCTGCAAAATACAGTGTTCCACCGAGTCACAAACTAGCATTACCAAGAAAATTAAAAAAACTTCTTCTGGATATGGCAAGAAAAAACCCTGAAGAAAGACCTTCTCTAGCTGATGCAATTAAGGTTACTAGTTTTAAGCAATTTTATGTGAAATCTAGTTATGTCTAAAGTCTCATTTTAGTGATTTGAATATCAAAGTATTTATTTTTGGTAATGGTCTGAGATCTAATTAAATCGTAACCAGTCATTTTGGGATTTGTTTTTAAAGTTACATCTCTAGGGACACAGAGGGGTGTGTTTTTATTTTATATTGAAATTGTCAATAAGGTACTCGGAATAGGTTCATAAGACTTTGTAAACTTAGATTACTTCTAATTGACAATTTATCTTGACTTTGTCCTTGTCCAAGAATACCTCACTTGATTGAAAACTTTTTTACTGACTGAAAGCTATGATTTTTCTTTTTTTTCTTTTTTTTTTCTTTTTTTTAGACATGCAATCATTATTTACTTGAACAAGGTAGAAACAGCAAAAATATTTTGGCATTGTTGAATAAATCTGTCTTTAAGGTAAGAGCGCCACCTTTTTTAATTCTCTAAGTTTTTTCAATTAATTGTGTAAATTGTATTCCAGTAAGATTCTGTCCCCTGCAAGTACAGTTAGATTTGTTCTTTTTTTTTCTTTTTTCTTTTTTTTAATTTATTTTCAAGTAGTCTTTAAATATTGCTTTTTTCTAGTTCTTGTTGTTGGAGTGGTTACTCCCCAGATTTTGATGCCTTGACTCCACAATCTGTATGGGTGAAGAACCGGTGACTTAATTTCATAATCTCAGTTTCATTTACCACCCCTTTTATCAGAACAGAAGACATTAATTCATTGCTGTGTTCTGTTTATGTTTCAAATATGTGTATATAATGCATGCAGTGTTCAGTCAATCCATGGAACTAACTTTGTTCAAAACTTTGATTACCTAGAAGTTCTGATTTGAAACAGAGGGTTATCAAGTATTCCAAACAGTTCTACCAGTCCTTAGTGTTTTGTATGTCATTTGTTTTAATTGTCCACCTTGGCATGACTAGGTTGTTGCTTTTCAACATTCTAGGTTTATATGGGGGTTGGGGTTTTTTTGAAGTAATGTGCTGAGCAGAATTTTAAAAAAGAAAATGCTAATAAATTCAGTTTGGACTTCGATTTTTGTTGTTAGGCTGTTAAGGAAGAAGTAATCTTGTCTCAAGACCATGTTGCTTTTGAATTTAAAAATGAAAGACCTGAAATGGACCCTTCGGAGTCAAGTCCAGGTAAGCAGTCAGACTGACATGTTTGCTTTGTTTTAGTATTCTCTAGATCAATTCTCAAGATTTTCTTGATCAGGTATGCAATTTTTCTTTTTTTTCTATCTAGATTGATTGTCATTTACCTTGCATTTATATTTTACATGTTGTTCAACCTTCTAACTGTCTTTTTGATTTTAGGATTTGTGCCTATTACCAATGAAAGTAAACTTGTAGCAGTTAAAGGACCAGTACCATGCCAGATTTCTCTAAATTATGAGAAAGATACATTACCTGTTGCATTCACCTCTCCTGCGACTCACTTTAAGCCTATTATTCTGCAACAAAATGGAAATACATCAAAGTCAGTATATCCTAAAGCAGAATAAATTAAACTTGAGATTTCATTGTTAAATCTACTGGAATTGTCCTCAAAAAAAAAAAATTCTTTGTTCCTTTTCAGAGAGGTTCACACACCAGTTTCTGAGCAATTTAAGAAAGCGACAAGAAGAGAAAAACACATGTACCACAACAAATCAGGATATATAGAAGACTCTAAAAGCTATGGTACTGAGGACACAGATGTTGAAATTGCACCTGAAATACCTCAGTGTGACTTACAAGCTCCAGGCCACTCATCCCAGATATCTTCAGAAGAGCAAAAGTCAGGCAATGCATTTACTTCTATAGTTGCATTACCATCACCATCTGATTCTTCACATATTAAAAAGCATTTTATCTGAAGTTCCTTCTAGCTCCTTAGCTTGTCCTACATCTCCTAATTTTCTTCATATAAATAACATAATTCTCAAACAGAACTCAGAGAAAAGAGTTTTGACATTTGTACCGGTACATTTAGCTGTATCAGAGCAAATACCAAATAAACCTCTTCGTTCAAGAGTTGCTTATGATTGCTATCATAGTTTGCCAGTGCTACTTTCAAGTACTATTGCAAGTTATAAAATGAGCACACAAACAGAAAATGATGCCTCCTTTTGCAAAGTGCAAAACTGTGAGACTACAAAGAACAAGTCTGATAAAAGAAACCCAGTTATTCAAACCAATTGCCAAGAAATTGAGTGTGCTACCAGTGTAGACAGTATTTTCACTGAACAAGGACAGTCACCGCCATGTACCTCAGTGAATCAAGACAATTCTCATCCCTTTGATGTTGAAGTCCTGCCCCAGCAGAACAGAACAAGTGATGCTTTACTACAGGAAGTGGTTCATCTTATACAAGAGGAGTTTGCATTTGATGGCTATCTAGAGAATGGAACTGAAGTTTTTGATATGGGTATGTATATTTTCTTTTGTATATTATTATCATTGAAGTGTAAGAATGTTGTCATTAATGTCTTTGTTCTCTCTGGTTTTTTGTTTGTTTCTTTTCTTTTTTTAAACAAGGTAACTTCATTTTAAACTTAAAGGAAATTAAGTTTGGTATGTTCTCTGATGCAATTTGTGAGAAGTTTTGTGATCTGTACTGGGATGAAAAATTACTGGAGAATCTCTATCAGGTAGTAAATAGAGAAAGACCTTCACAATTATGGTAGGTATTTTTCAACTTTTTCCTTCTTACAGTTCAATTTAATGTTTTTCTCCCTACTTCCAGGAAGGAAGGATATGCTACTTCTCTTCACGTATCCTCACTTGTTTCCTGTGAACTGTTAATTTCAGTCTATTAGATACTTCGTGGCTTTCCCCATAGCAAATAGTGCTTAATGGCTTAGCAGAAAATATTTTCTACTAAGTTTATCTGTAAGTCCTTCTTAGAATAGCTGAATAAAGGAAACCTAATTCTGATCAATATTGTTTTCAACCATTGATGGAGAGCTTCATAGTCTTGTTAGAAAAAGGCTATTTAATCAGAAGTGAAGGGTATTGTTCTTACTGTTGTTTGCTTATTCTGTTTGAGTTTAGTTCTTTATACATCCTTTTATTCTATTCACACCTAAGAACAAGGAAATTGATTTAGCTATGCTAGGAATGTTTTACTTAACTGGTTTAGTTTGACTCAGTGTTCCTCCTGGCAGTCTTTTTTAAGTAGCCTGTTAAGTGAGAAAACACCAGCTTAATTTCTCAGTTCCACTGTTACATCTTTGATGACATACCTGCTGGAAAAATAATAAAAAACATTCTTGTTTTATTGCAGCCTCCAAATATAGCATACTTATAAAAGTTTCTTACTGAAAACTATTGTAAACAGTAATCAATTTATACATGGAAATTATGGGGGTTTTGTCTGTCATGGTCTGGAACTACAAATTGGAAGTTCTGACAAAGAAGCTTGGTAGATAGGATCTAGAAAAACCTCAGTGTTAAAAGATGTATAATCTCTATGGCAAGTTTCAGAGAGAATAGACTATAACCTCCAGATATCAGACCCTAACATGCTGGCCTATTTCCTGTTTGGGTTGGGGTTTTGAAGGAGCCATTGAAAAATGGTTGGAGGTTAAGCTCTTAATTCCCCAGAATTTAATGTTATGGTAGGAGAAACTTGAGCTGTTGCAGCTGAACTGCTGACACACATGAAGAGGTCATCCTTTGTATGAACTTTTGTTACAAAGTAAAGTTTTTGAAAGCAAGAGTGAAAAGGAAATCATCATTTATTATCCAGCATAAAAATATATGTCTAGCTTTTAGATCACACACAAGAACTGCCTCAGAATCTCTCTCACACACTGCTTTCTTAACATTCTTTGGATAAAGAATATAGCAGTTTTTAATTGTTACCTTCTTTGACTTAAAATTATGATTATTCTTATTAAGGATGACTTAGACTGTTATCCAGAGGTTGAATACTGAGTGAAAAACCCATTACAGTAATTTGCAGTCTAAGTTATGGCTGGAGTTATACCTTCTGTTTGTATGTGTTCTGATACTTCTGTTGGAATTTTGCCAAATTCTGTAAAGGAAGATCTCTATATCTTACTCAGTGTGCTTTAATATCCATTTGAACATATTTTTTTCTTGTAAAATAACAACTGAAGCTGAACATGCAAACTTCAGGAGGTAGATGAATGCTATGAAACCCTTGACATACATGGTAGGGTCATTTGTAAGATCTCATTTTACTGATGTAAACATAGAAGCATATGAAACGTTAATTTTTCCTAATCTTCTCGTATTTTCAGCATAACTGAGGCAGATGATTCAAAGTGTGGCAATATGTTCCAAGATCTGAAGAAATCTGATAGCTTTTTGGCAAGCAGTGATCAGACAGAGGGTGAGAAGATGTTTCTAGATCTTTGTGTGTGTTAGGAATCTATCAATGACACAAATTTTGAGAGATTAGCACTTTGAGTGTGTCTTCAGGAAAACACTCAGCACTTAGGAACATTATCAGTGAATCTGAACTTTATCAATGCCTTGGGGACCTGCTGTCTTTTCTGTGAAGCTTGCATATGACCAAATGTCCTTGAGTGGGATGCCTGTTTCATTTACTTTTACTTACTTTTATTTACACAGATGTGTCTGTTGAAGAACTCCCAAAATCCAGACTGCTACATGTGATTTTCTTGTGTTCATCCAGTAGATGTTCTAGTGGCATGCTTTAAAGTAGGGAGAAGGAAGGGAGACAGTTACACTGAGTCAGCTCCAGACAACATAGCAAGCTTAGCTAGGCAGAGGGGAGGGTTTTAGAAAATTCTTATGACTCCTTAGGTGTTGCTGAAGAAGCTGAGGGTTGATTGAAGGGTGGCTGTGTAACAGAACTGGTCCTTCTTTGTTCACTTATCAGAATTAAAACAAAACTAGGCAGTAAAATAAATAAAAGGTGTTAAAATAAAAAAATCGTATTGTCAATAAAATTGTTTACAAATTCTGGAGAAGGGAATTGTACAGAAATCTAGAAACTGAATTGCTTTTAGATTTGAATGGGCATTTTTATTCATCGAAAGAGTTTTCACAGACAGGTAAAAAAGAATAGTCTTTATGTCTCTCCTAGGAATTCCTCCACTTCCGTATTCTGTCCCCTGATGTGCCTTTTTAAAGATAGATAGCAAAATGAGCAGTGGGTCAAATGATTTGTTAATGAAGATAGTTCCGCCTTTTGATCACAAACTTGGTTACAGAACACCATTGCAGGGCTGTAATTGAGGTTATATTAGTGGATAGTTTATTTGTACTTTATTTGTACTTATTCAGTATGGGTTTTGTATTTTTCCTGGCAGACTTTGTGATTCAAGGTTTGCAAAATAGTCCATCTTCCAGTAACTGAACTCAAAACTGAGCTGGGACTGGCAAATAGCATTATTATAACAAAACCATTACCCTTTCTAGGCTTGGTGTATTCATGGACAACCTTGTATTTGGTTGCTGTTGTATCAGTATTTCATTTTTTTTCAAGATAGTTCAACCAAGTTTCAGTGTTTAAACTTGGTTACCTCTCTGTTTTGAGCAAAGTTAAACTGTATGCTTTCAGAATGGCTTATACTCTGACATTGTTAACTTTTATGGCAAAACATGAATTTGTAAGTTTGCACTTGGCTACTGTCATTCTATGTTACAGTTTTCCATTTTGGCTCAGAATTATTGCAAATGTAGAGCCAGACTTTCCCATGGGGTATGCGATTTCTTTGCACCAGTAATTCAGGTCCGTTTGACTCCAAGGTGGTATATCTAAGCCCTGGAGAGTTGCTCAAGTGAAAAGCGAGACTTCTGGCAGGCATAAAAGCTCCTGTCAGCGTCATACCAACCTTTGACTGTCGCTTCAATCCCTTAAGGTTCGTCGTAGCGGTTATAACTGCAAAAACTCCCATTATAGCTCAAGGGAGTCAGTCCTGTAGGAGTAGAAGGCTTAACATCTGTGTCCCCCTTGGCTATATCAAGTATTCTTGTCCTCTAAAAAAAGCTTCAAGTCTTATGGATGGAAAAACCTCAAGAGCTAAGCTTTTTACTAATGCATGCACAGGTCTGACATATTTAACTTTTGTTTTAAAGCTTCGGTACTATGCTTTGTTTAAATGCTTATTGAATATGCACAGAAAATATTTTGTAATTTTCAGAAATGTATTGTTTAATTATTGCTTAATAGTTCTGAAATGTCTTTAACCTTTATCATTTTACAATGTGTAGTTGAGAAAAAGAAAGCACAGAGCCAAAATAAGCATCGAACACCACTGTTAGAGTGCATAGGTTGTCTCATAACTGTGTTTGTATGTGTAGTGTTTAAGTTCAACAAAGCATGCATCACAGCACATGACCATTATTTCTTTCCCCTTCGTGCACCCTCTTTAGGAGAAGGGGAAGCAACCTTTGTGAAGGCTGAGCCTATGATAAATACGTCAGTAGCTGAAACGGATTTTGATGAGTCCCCTTCGAGTAATATCAAAAAAGAATTGAGGCTGCAGAATACTATCCCCATAAAGAAAGAGCAACAAAGTTTACAAAGCAACGGCTGTTGTATTGGTGTAGGCTTTGCAGAAGAAAATATAGAGCCAGAGGAAGAGACCATGATAAAGAGAGTTGGGAACAACTACCCTGTGTCTCCCAATCTACCTGACTTTCATGGCTGTAGTCCTGGTTGGAGCAGTGCATTTTATGGAGCTGAATGTTTCGATTCAGAAGTTCATAGTTACATGAAAAACCTTGGAAAGCAGAAATCAAGTGAGTCACAAAATATAGATGCTAAAAAAGTGGTGAGTACATTGATTTAAAATCATTAAGATACCTCTTTACTTGGTGGTTAAAAATATGATAATATTTTTTGTTATAGTGAGTCAAACCCCCCCTTTTTTTTAAATACTGACTTTTAAGTGTTTTAAAATCCTGAAGATTTGTGATGTCTTATCAGTAAACCAGGGTAAGGGTAGTATTCCAAAATAAAGAGCACTGACATGAAATTGATAATCACTGACTTACAACCCATCTTCTCTTCCTGAAGTTGACTGGAAAAGTACTATCTGCTGTATGCACCAACCCCACAGTGGTAATATTATAGAAAAGAGCTAAGAATTACTATGACTATGTGTATCACAGGCTCTCAAGAGGTCCTCCCTGTCATGTGCCCTGAGCCCTTTTGCTTGGTCATGGTGAATTCCCTGACAGATTCTCACCATTTGCCAGCAGAATGGCAGTTATTTGCTCACATCTTCTCTTGGAGACAGCTAATCATCATGATGAGTGCAGCCTTGTGCCTTTTGAGCAGCTTGGGGGGGCATGGGGGAGCATGGATAGAGGGGTGGGTTGGTTTAGATTAGCAAGGTCTTCCATTCCCTTAAAGATCATATTGATCACATTTACTTAATTTTTATATTTGTGCATCTATCTATAACAAGCTTCAGTTTGTAAATATTTTTGTAAATATTTCAAGTCCAAAGCCACAGAATAAGGATAATATAAGAAACTGTAGAAATCTGTATAGTTGGAAGTTCATTGGAAGGAAAAGGAAAAATTTAAGTAAATGAGTTATTAATACTGGAAAACCTATTAGTATAGGGACATGTGGACTCCTTTTGTGTCCCTGAGAATGGTTAGTTGTCTAGTTTGTGTATCCTTATCATTGCTGCCAGATACATGTTCAATAAAGGTGCAGC